AACCCACTGTACCCTGTCTGAAAGGAAGTAACGCTAGAGTAGACTCGCGAAAAGTGTATAAGACACTTTTAAGATCAACTAAATAGCTAAGCCCAAGGGAAGTCGTTCGGGGAGGCCCTCCCTAATTCCACAAGGGTGAGAAGAAACAAACACGATAACGAAACGTTGAATCATGTAGAACTCGTAGGGTAAATGCAAAGCAAAATAGGAAGAATATGCAGTAAGCTAAGCGAAGAGGTAAGCAAGGTTAGACTATACTACAACTACTAAACGTGTTATTTCTACTACTACACTACTACTTAAAAAAAAATAAAAACATCTACAATCAACAATTACTTTAAATAAAATGAACAAAAATAAACATGCAAAATAAAAAACTAATTCCAATAAAATAAACTACAAAAACCATGCAAAATAAAAAATTAATTCTAATTGTGTCTAATAGAACATGCAAGATATAGAAGTATTTTAACTACGGGATCTTCTTTGTCTTCTCCCTCGTCGATCCATTCACGCACACACGCATACACGCATAGGATCTTCTTTGTCTTCTCCCTCGTCGATCTGAAACAGATACGGTGGTAACAGATTAATAAAGAGCAACTGAAATTAATTATAATATCAAACATATTCACCTTAACTAACTGCAGACTGCAGTGAAAAGCAAATCAAATCCAGGATGAATATCACAGCAGAAGATCTGTCCTTTCAGTAAAGTTCAAATAAATCTCCAGTTTCTCGCATTCATCCGTTGAAAATCAGTTACATAATGTTGAAAGGTGAAGATGAGAATAGTATCTTCATTGCTCTGTTCATTCTGGGATAAAAATGACTGCTACAATCTGTGCTCCACAATATAGAGGCCTACAGCTTGTTATAATGTTCCTGTGAAAAAACATGTTACATTAAAACAACAATCAACCATAATACAATTAAGCCTGCTTAGAAAACAGAAAGTTAAAGTAGTTAATGACAAATGAACATAATTATAATAAAAGAAACTTACACATTGATGAAACATCGGCAATCAGTAACTACCTTTTAATTTCAAGCAATTTAAATTACGGAATACATTCTTACCTTAAAAAGTCATAGAATGTTTCAAGATAAAGAAGACAAAAACTAAGGAAGTGCAGCAAGAACGGCATCATTGCACACCATCCCATTTGTCGATATTCCTGTAGTAACGAAATAATCTTCAATACGCTTTCATTCACTGCTCAATCTATAAAAAAAGAACAATACAAGTCGAATTAGTTATATTATTTCGTAAATAAGATATGATTTAATGTAAAAATGCACCTGGAAACAGGACGGTAAATGAGCACAATTCCAAAATGGCGATGGACGAGCTGATTTCATAGATAAGAGATATACTTAGTAGGTCAGTTGACACCACAGACAAGAATAGGTTGACACATTGCATAGATATGTTGGTAAAAGTAGCGTCACTGTGATCATAGACATGATAAAAAGAGAAACAATAGATATAAAATTTACCATCGAGTAGAATAAACATAAGGTATGTTCAAACATTGTACACCTATCACTTTATAATAAAATCGTATAAAATTAGTTTTCTACTACAAATACTAAAGTCTATATATTAAATAACGAATGAGTTATTGGGGTGGTAAAGTGTGGTTGAATTGGAGAGTTTTTCATGAAAATTGTACAAAAAAAATACTATTTTCACAATAAAAAAAAATTGTTTTGTATTACAATAAGGGGTAGTTTAACATTACATCTTGTCTTGCTAATTCTAATAACATAGGATCATCGAAGAATTTATTAATTGAAACGTCCTGGCTGAGTCCTTTTCTCCTGCGGGTCTTGATCATAAATTCACGGGCCAAATGGGTTGCCGGCTGGGGCTCCAAAGGTCTGATAACAATGGACTTGTCCAGTGGATCTCCAGGAACAATCTAATTAAAATACGAAATAAAATACTATAACATGTTTTAAAAGACAATTTAAAAAATAAAGTATAATTAGAACGAATAAGAAATATGGTCTTATTTGTTTACCTGCCAATGATGGAAAACAGAGAGACAAAAGGCTTGGCCCTGTGTGTGTGTCCTTAAATCGGTTTCAAATCCAAAACTGTCAATAGCGGGGATAAAGGCTTTAATTGTGTACAAAGGAGATCCAGGAACGGGTGCATCCTGCGTGACGTGACCTCTAAAGCATGAAAATAAAACATAAGAGGAAAAAGGAAACCATTTTTTGATGTAGTATATTAAATTAAGGTCTGATGTTCGATTGAATCAAACAACTGAATTTTTCAGTATATATAAGATCTTAATAAATGAATTGGACGTGCATCCTAAGATGAATGCCTTAAATAAAAAATTAAACAAAATGCCTATAATAATCTTAGTTAAAGTTTGATAACGAATATGTTTTAAAAATTGGATTTCTAAGCTTATATAGCATATGCATACATGCACCCTTCAATGCCGAGGGCGGCTATTACTTTTTCAATTTTTTTAAAGGCTTAAAAACGTAAAAGAGTCCTAGTTTTTTTGCATTTGAAGGTGTGACTATTACCGTTTAAAAGCTCCAATGATCAAAACCGAGTAAAATATTCATTTATATTCACGCTTACCTTCGTTTTGCCAGTACAGTGTACACAGCTGACACGCAATCGGCCGGGGCCTGCACCTCCACGAACAAATAGGGCTCCATAAGACGTGGTGTAGCCATTAGGAATGCAGAATACACAACACGTCGGGCTGTTGGAATGATNAATTTGGAAAAAGACCCATTGCAACTTATGCTCTCCTAATACAAATGTTGGAATTTATGAAAATTTTCGGTTTTGAGCCAAGTACAAGGGTTGATCAGAAAGTAAAAGAAAAATCAAAACTGTTTTTTGAAATTTTGTTATTCCGTAACTTTTCGACCGGCCCTCGTATATGACGCAAAACTGAAAATTTTGTTAAATCTGAAAATTTGTATTAGGAGAGCATAAGTCACAATGGGTCTTTTTTCAAATTTTTGATCTTTCCATTACTTTCTGACCAACCTTCGTTTTGGATCAAAATTGAAAATTTTCGTAAATTCCAACATTTGTATTAGGAGAGCATAAGTCGCAAAAGGTCTTTTTAAAGGTATCAATTTTTAGCGCGAAATCAACTATATCGCAGTCTTGTTTTTCACTTTTTTACATCGTTGAAACGTTTAATTGTACTATTACTATCATAATTTATGTTCATTTCCAGTATTATAACAAAAATTAAATTTCTCAATAGATGTCTTAGTGTTATTTTTAATAAGTAAAACGCTGTTTACTTTAAAACGAGGTTATTTAGCAAATACTGTA